AACCAATTGGTTAGATTATAAATTAAAGTTTTTTTTTTGTTATTAACCAAATTAATCCTATATATAAACCTTAATTAATACAAAAAAAGTTACAAGCATTTTTTTTGCTTACTGTGACACTCGGAGTTGCATAAAGGGTTACGACAGTCTACGTAACAGACTTTGTTCATAGTTGCGGCACCGGTGCTAGGGCATTCTTCTGGACACATTATATACTTCTGGAAGCATAGTTGGTAAGGGTTGCTACAGTAAACTCCTTGTGACTTGGCCCGCAAGAAACATAACATGATTGCAAGAAGTATCATCACTAGCGACGAGGTTTTTGAGATCTTCATTTCTAATTGTTTTTTTTTCTGTTTAATTATATATCGATATGAGATTGTGAATTTATAGACGCAACTCTGTGAAAAAAAAATTCCCAAAATAACAATTATTTTACTCCAAGATGGGCAAGATAAGAGTTTTCTTTTTGAAAAGGAGGACAAGATGGGAGTTGCTCGGGTTTGTGTGCCTTTGGACATTTCACCCACACATGTATTCAACGTTATTCGAACCAAGTTGTGTATATTAATAATTCTTAAATTGAAATGTATATGAATATTGAATAGAAAACTTGGTTCGATATAGAGCTTCTGCCACAAAATTTAAGAAACAAGTATATACAGACATAAGGCTCAGAAGTGTGATCAAGTGCAAACAAAATAAAAGAAAGGAAGGCCATCTTTTATGGTTTGGCCTTAATACGTAAGCGATGCTTAGCATTTGATTAAAACACTATATGAAATGTTCAATTAAAAGTGAAATTGATAATTATACTAGAGAAAGAAAACAGTAAATCATTCCAAGTAATTTACTCTCGTGAGCTACAAGTTCGGGTCATAACACATTTTCACCGACGTGGGACAATTCCTCTTTGCATATTTTGCCTTCAAAAGAAACGTCCTCTTTGTTTTTTTTCGTATTTATTTACTCTTTTGTTTTGTATTTAAAATATCAACATTGCAATTGAAAGGAAAAAACAAATGATAGGGTTTCTAGTTTGGTATATTTACAAAAATGTCATTTTTTGTGTCCACATTTGCAAAAATGCTATTTTTGGTGTCCATTTGCAAAAATATCATTTTTAGTGGCATTTTCATTATGATTTTTTAGAG